TTTATGTGGACGGCCATTTCTTGGTAAGTTTGCAGTTGTGCTATGCTCTTTCCATTTTCAGATGATGGATTGAACAGTGCTCCTTTAGATGTTCAAAGCTTGGGATATTTTTATATAACCTAACCCTGGTTTAAACTTATCCACAACTTTATCCCTGACCTGTCTGTTTTCTTCCTTGGCATTCATGATACTGTTTGTTCACTAATGTTTTTTAACAAACCTCTGAGGGCTTCACAGAACAGCTGCATTTATACTGAGATTAAATTACACACAGGTGGACGCTATTTACAAATTAGATGACTTCTGAAGGCAGTTGGTCCCACTAGCTTTTAGTTAGGGGTATCAGAGTAACGGGGGCTGAATACAAATGCACGCCACACTTTTCAGATATTTGTAAAAAATTGTGAAAATAATTTATCGTTTTCCTTTCCGTTCACAATTATGTGCTACTTTGTGTTGGTCTATCACATAAAATCCCAATAAAATACATTTACATTTTTGGTGGTAACATGGCAAAACATGGAAAATTTTAAGGGGTATGAATAATTTTTCAAGGCACTGTACCGTACTTCCGAGCAAGATGTATTGTGCTTGAATCTTACATGTAATACATGATGAGTTTTAATCCTGAGCATTTGGTTAAAATCTATGTGGTATTGTGTGTTTGAATGTGGTTTATTCTCTTACCAACCGAATTACATATATATGCAGTGGCAATAAGGGTGGGCTTTAACACCCAGCCGACACACCAAGGTGGTCTAAGGTTTTGTGTTGAGAGCACTCCCAGCCCAGTGACAAAGCAGTTGTACAGCCTCCTGGGTATTAAAGCCCACAGCCTGCACTTCCAAATTCTCCTCCTTTGTGTGATTTTTATTTAGAATCACTTTCGCCTTTAGCAAAGAAAATACTGTATATTGGTTTAGTAATACTTCATATGTATCTAACTAGAAAACAAGAAAAAACATTTTTAAAATGTTATTTTTGTCCTGACTATAAACAATAAAGAATATATGAAAAAGCACACATACAATTAATATAAGAGGTTGTACGTGGTGCAGCTTGAAAGTACTGCTGAGATCATAATATGTACACAGGCTCAGAGTACTCAAGATTCTGCCTAGTGATCAATAATTCATCAGTGGCATCAAAGTAGATGTCACTCACAAGGGATTTAATGTACAAATGTCACTTTAGACCTGTAAAATAATACGAGTTGAAAATCCATCATGCTTTTCTGTACAGTGAAGAGATCCTAAAGAAAGTGTCATTTTTTGTTCTTTTTGACTGTCAGTCTACAGTAATGTTAGGATGGCAATAATGGTAGAGATGAATTTAAAAGACTGGCCCAGAAAGAACAGACAAATAACGAAAAAAAAAAGAAGAAAATATATGTGGATGTGTGTACTATATATATATATATATATATATATATATATATATATATATATACAGTACTGTGCAGGGGCGGACTGGACATTTGGAAACTTGGTCACTGTCCGAGGGCCCGGGTTCAGTGGGGGGCACCATGAGATGCCCCTGGTACCTTTTTCATAGGCTTTTCTGAGTTTGGGCAAGGACACAGGGGCCCTATGATCCCCTATTGCCCGGGGGCCCCATGAGTTGTCAGTCCGCCCCTGGTACTGTGTAAGAAGAGGGTGTGAAGAACAGCTGTAAAGTAAGACTACTTTCAAAAATATATATATTTTTAATTGTTTGTATCAATTTACAAAATGCAAGTGAGCAAACAGAGGAAAAATCTAAATGAAATCAGTATTTGGTGTGACTACTCTTTGGCTTCAAAGCAGCATCATTTCTTACACTTGCACAAAGTCAGGAATTTTGTAGGATTAGAGTCAGTTGTATGATTTAACCAATTATACCAAGCAGGTGCTAATGACCATCAATTTCATATGTAGGTTGAAACACAGTCATTAACTGAAACAGAAACAGCTGTGTAGGAGGCTTAAAATTGGGTGAGGAACAGCCAAAATCTGCTACTAAGGTGATGTTGTTGAAGACAGTTTCATGTCACAAGTCATATAATATGGCAAGAATGAGCACAGCAATATGACAGCAAGGTCTCTCCCAGGCTCAGATTTCAAAGCAGAGTGGGGTTTCAAGATGTGCTGTTCAAGCTCTTTTGAACAAGCACAAAGAAATGGGCAACGTTGAAGACTGAAGAGGCAGTGGGGACCCTTGGAAACCTAATGCAGTAAACACATCATGCCTACTTCTGTTCAACATCAGAAGATGGGCAGCAGTGTCTTTAGCACAGAACTGGCAAAAAAACAGAGGGACCTAGGTACACCCATCTACTGTCTGGAGAAGTCCAGCCAGAAGTGGTCTACTTGAATAATTGCAGCCAAAAAAGCCATATCTCCTAGTGGAAACAAGACTCTCGGCTATACACAAAAACATAGGAGCTGGGGTGCAGAAAAATGGGAGTACGTGTTCTGGACTGATGATAATAATAATAATACAAGAGGCGGGACTTTTAAATTTACAGTATAAAAAGGATGCTAGCGTGGCGGTACTACATTTATTTATTTTTTATTTATTTCAGGTACTTATATAGCGCTGTCAATTTACGCAGCGCTTTACATATATATTGTACATTCACATCAGTCCCTAACCCTCAAGGGGCGTACAATCTAAGGTCCTTAACTCACATTCATACATACACATACTAGGGTCAATTTAGACAGGAGCCAATTCACCTACCAGCATGTCTTTGGAGTGTGGGAGGAAACCGGAGTACCCGGAGGAAACCCATGCAGGCACAGGGAGAACATGCAAACTCCAGGCAGGTGGTGCTGTGGTTGGGATTCGAACCAACAACCCTAGTACTGCCAGGCGGAAGTGCTAACCATTTAGCCACTGTGCTGCCCACATGCAGTAGTAAGTGGCAAGTGTGTCCTATTACTTATAGGCAGCTCACATGTCGCGGGCCAGTCCAGAGACCGTTAATCAAGATGGCGGACAACAGTGCATGCATGGAATAGTGTGTGTGTGAAGAAGTTTGTTGTGAACGAAGGTGTAAAACCCACGGATATCAACAGAAGGCTTCAAGCACAGTACAGCTCAGCTGCAGTAAGACATTTGAATGGTGTAAACTTTTTGAAGATGCCATACGTCCGTCAGTAATGATCCCTGATGTGGTGGTTCCCAGCCCACAGCAGCCATTCCTGTAAACATTCAGTGCATGGAGCACCTGATCCTGCCTAATTGATACATAACCTGTCATGAAATTGCACAAGAGATGAATCCCAGAGCCAAAAAGGAAGCAAAAGAAATTGCCTGCAAATTTAGGGAATTCCTTGGGACCCCCAGGTCACCAGAACTAGTGTCCCCATTGGAAGATTTCCCCTCTATTACTTTTCTGGGGACAACCCAAAATGTGGTATTTTCTTTTACTTTCAATGATAATGGTAAACAGGACAAATAGAGAGAGTGAATCTCCCTAACAGGGGCACAGACAGCAATAAAAACTGACAATCCCTCTCTACTCTATCCAAAACTAAAAAAAAAAAGAGTTTTGCCTTTAGTTATACTTTAAACGCTGGGAAAAGTATATAAATGTAGCAGGGGAGTATGTTGAAAAATAAATGCAGTTTCCACTCCTTGAATTTTACGCTTTTATTATATAAACTCAAAAGTCCCGGTTTGACGCCCTTAGTAAAGAAAACAAAAATTAAAGTGCCTCTGTCTGCTTGTGCACAAATGCGAACAAGCTCTGGTCTCGTGCACATATATAAACGACAATCACTTCCCACACGTGAGGTATCACCACGAACACCAGTCAGTGAGAGCATTAATTCTAGCTCCAGACCTCCTGTGTAACTGTAAACTAGTAACCTGTATATTCTTTTAAAGTGTCACCTATGGGGACATCAGGTATCATAGTTTGGCGCCATTCCATGGGTAGACGCAATTTTAACCACTAGCCTACAGGGCACTTATACCCCCTTCCTGCCCAGGCCAATTTCCAGCTTTCAGCGCTGTCACACTTTGAATGACAATTGCGCGGTCATGCAACACTGTACCCATATGACATTTTTATCATTTTTTTGTGAGAGATAGAGCTTTATTTTGGTGGTATGTAATCACTACAGGGTTTTTTATTTTTTCTTAAACCATAAACCACTGAAAATTTTGAAAAAAAAAAAGTTTTTTCTTAGTTTTTGTTATAAAATTTTGTAAAATAGTGATTTTTCTCCTTCACTGATGTGCGCTAATGAGGCTGTAATGATGGGCACTGATAGGCTGCACTGATGGACACTGATGAGGAGGCACTGATAGGTGGCACTGATGGGCACTGGTAGGTGGCACTGATGGGCATTGACAGGCATCACTGATGGGCACTGAAAGGCAGCACTCATATATGGCACTGACTGGAACTGTAAGGCGGCACTGATAGGCGGCACTCATGCACACTGATAGGCGGCACTCATGCACACTGATAGGCGGCACTGACTGGCACTGATAGGTGGCACTGATTGGCAGCACTGATAGGCGGCACTGACTGGCATTGATAGGTGGCACTGACTGGCACTGATGGGTGACACTGAAAGGCAGCTCAGATGGGCACTGATATGTGGCATTGATGTGCACTGGTAGGCACTGAAATGTGGCACTGATGGACACTGACAGGTGACACTGCTGGGGCTACACTGATCATCAAGGCACACTGATCATCAGTGCTCTGATGATCAGTGTAGATGTCCCCCCTGAGGAATGCCGATTACCGGCTCTAATCTCCTCTGTCAGCGTGACAGCTCGTGAGGAGAGAAATGCCGATAACCGGCGTTTCCCTATTTACATGTGATCAGCTGTGATTGGACACAGCTGATCACATGACCAAGCAGACATCTTTGGCTCTTTCCATGGATCGGTGATCCGCTGTGTCCGAGGGACACAGCGCACCGCCGATCGCCGTGCTGCGCGCTCCCAGAGCCAGCCATGCATGCGCAATGAGAATGGGAGGACATCATATGATGTCCTCCCAGAACGAGAGAACCACCTTGCGCCCGTCATTGTACTATATGGCGGAACTGGAGGAGGTTAAAGTATGACATGTTTGGTTTTTTATTACAAGGTGCAACATCATTGTTTCTATTTTACATAAAATGGGTATTGTATTGTGCTGTTATGCATTGCAATTCATTAAAATGTTTTGTTTTTTTAAATTGCACTTGAAAAACTGCTGAGTGATTACTGAGTGACATAAAAATATGCAACACTCACCATTTTATTCTCCACAGCCTCTGCTTGAAAAGTGTATAATGCTTGGGGGTTCTAAGTAGTTTTCTAGCAAAAAAAAATCATGTTTTATACAAGGAGAAGAATGTCAGAATTAGCCCAAACTAAAAGTGGTTAAGGTGCTTCTTGGATGTCAGACCCCTCTGTGTGGCTAGGCTGTAAAAAATTCTCACACATGTAGTATACCCTTACTTGGGAGGAGCAGCAGAATGTGTTTTTGAGGGTGTAATTCTAGATATTCCCATGCTGTATGTGGGAAATGCGAGGGGTGTTCAAGTCAAACCATGACTTTTTGTGTTTATATATACAGTTGTTTTCAACCCCCAATGCTGTAAAGGGGTTTAGGGACTATAGTGTACATTTGGAATTGTATTCAGAATCAAATCCTACAAGGACGTTGTAACTACCCAAATGCAACTAAAATGACATCAATTGTTTATGTAATACAGTAGTAAATGTTCTTATGTGGTTTTTCTTCATTGCCACAATTATTCAACCCCTTAAAGACTACCACTCTGAAGAACAGAGGTTCATACAGGTGCTTTCCATCAGGTATTGAAAACACCTGTGGATGTCACCGAGCAGCAATCAAGCATAATAAGCACCAATTAGGCAGCTTTAAAATGACTGTGATACTCAGCTCCTTCTTGACATTTACTGGTGTGGTTACAAAACATGGTGAAGGCAAGAGAATGGTCCAGGAAGACAAGAGAAGAGGTTGATTTCTCTTCACAGGAAGGGCAATGGCTATAAGAAGATTGCAAAGATGTTAAACATACAAGAGACACCTTAGGAAGCATCATTCGCAAATTCAAGGCAAAGGGCACTGTTGAAACGCTACCTGGTCGTGGCAGAAAGAAGATGTGACTTCGACTGCGCTACCTGAAGCGTAGAGTGGAGAGAAGTCCCCGTGTGACTGCTGAGGAACTGAGAAAAGATTTGTCAGATGTTACAGAAGTTTCAGCCCAGACAATAAGACGCACACTGCGTATGAAGGCCTCCGTGCCAGAACTCCCAGGCGTACCCCCTTGCTGTCTCCAAAGAATAAGAAGAGTCGACTGCAGTATGCCAAAAGCCATGTGGACAAACCACAAAGTTGTGGGATAGTGTTCTGTGGACTGATGAAAACAAAATTAGAACTGTTTGGGCCCATGGATCAACGCTATGTTTGGAGGAGGAAGAACAAGGCCTATGATGAAAAGAACAACCTTGCCTAAGTGAAGCATGGTGGAGGGTCAATCATGCTTTGGGGCTGTTTTGCTTCTGCAGGACAGGGAAGCTTCAGCGTGTGCAAGGTACCATGAATTCTCTTCAGTACCAGGAGATATTGGATGGAAACGTGATGCAGTCCGTCACACACCTGAGGCTTGGGAGACGTTGGACCTTTCAACAGGACAATGATCCCAAGCATACCTCCAAGTCCACTAGAGCATGGTTGCAGAGGAAAGGCTGGAACATTTTGGAGTGGCCATCGCAGTCACCAGACTTAAATCCGATTGAGAACCTCTGGTGGGACTTAAAGAAAGCAGTTGCAGTGCGCAAGCTAAGAATGTGACTGAACTGGAGGCCTTTGCCCATGAAGAATGGGCGAAGATACCCGTAGATCGCTGCAAATGACACTTGTGTCAAGCTATGCTTCACGTTTAAAAGCTGTTATAACTGTAAAAGGATGCTGTACTAAGTACTAAGATTGAATGTCACTTGGGGGTTGAATAAAACTGATAATGCTGTGAGCACAGAAAAGACATTTGTGGTTATTTCATTATAAACTGTTATGTTATATTTGTCTGACCTACAAGTGCCTCTTTAATGTAAATGTAAGCAAGATGACTTCAAAAGCAATGTTTTTATTCAGTGGGGGTTGAATAATTTTGGCCACTGTATATATATGAACAAAGAGTGAAAACTGCATTTATTTTTTATTTATACACTTATCCCAGCATTTGCCTAATGCCTGGAAAGATTCAGCATAGAAAGATTTTCATTATTGGATGTCTTTTTTCAGCCAAACGAACTATGTAAGTACGCCTGAACCATCCTAGGACAACTAGCTTTGCTTCCTCATCATTATGTTCACCATTCCCACTGAAAGATTCGTCTTTTGTGCAATTTCGACAGGTTATGCATCAATTATCCAGGAACAGACATTCCACAGATTGAATGTTCGCAGGAATGACTGCTGTGGGCTGGAAACCAACACAGCCGTGATTGTCACTGACAGGTGTACAGTCATCTTTGAAACGTTTACACCATTCAAATGTCTTACTGAGCATATCATCACTGCACTGTGTGTGAAGTCTTCCGTAGATAGTCTTGGGTTTTACACCTTCATAAACTGACCACATTATCTTAAAAAAAATTTAATTTTCTTTCTGCATTTTCCAAAATCTTGTGGCAAAAAAATGAAGTCCTCAAAAGGCTCCCCATGCTTCCTAAAAATACCTTGGGGTGTTTACTCTAAAAAAAAAAAGGTGTAATTTTGTGGGTTTTTCTACTGTCCTGGTTCTCCAGGGTCTCCAAAAATGTATTAGGTAGTATGGAAATTAGATGCGTTATTTATACCCCTAGAGAGCCTGAAGGTGCTCTTTGGGTCCTGCTGTGTGACTAAAGTCTCAGAAAAGTAGGAGAATGTGTGTTGGGAGTGTATTTCTAAGTATGTCCATGCTGTTCATTAGAAATATCCTATTACTTGACAACTTTGTGTAAAAAAAAATACATTTTCATTTTTTTTTCTACATTTTCCAAAAACTTGTAGTAAAACATTATATGTTCAAAATACCTCAGCGTGTTTGCTTACCAAAATGGGGTAATTTTGTGGGTGTTTCCATTGTCCTGGTGCTCCAGGGCCTCCACAAATTTGATAGGTAGTCAGGAAATTAGATGAGTAATTTATATGTAATTTATGCCACTGGAACACCTAAAGGTGCTGCTTGGATTTTGGACCTTTTGGGGTGTAATTGCAAGTATGCCCATGCTGTGTGTGGGAAATAGCTTGTTAAAATGACAAGATTGTGAAAAAAAAATTTGTTTTATTTAATTTCTTCATTTTCCCAAAAACTGTGACAAAAAATGACAACTTCAAAAAACTCACCATGCCTCTTACTGAATATCTCAGACTGGCTGCTTTTTTCAAAAAGAGATAATTTGAGAGGGGGGTTGTAATATCTTGGAATTTTAGGGCCTCAAGAAGTGAGATGGCAGTCAGTACATCAGGATTGATCACACAGACTAAATCGTATACAACGGTTTTGTGTTTTTTTTTCCATATTACATTTTTATTTGGTTTTATAAATATAGTTACAACAAAAAAAAACAAAAATAGAACAGTGAAAAGCTACACAATATCACAGTATATGTGCTGCGGTAAAGTTTAACAAAGAGAAAAACGGAAATATTGAATAATTCCTAACAATCTGTCAAGGTGCTACCTTTCCCCAGAGGTTATTCTGCAAAGCATGGTGGGAGCCTTTTATGCTTTCAGGCCTCTGCGGTCCATCCCCCAGAGGGGCGTGGTTGATCACATTTAAGCCTGTTGTCTGCACTTGCTCTTTGCATTCGTGTCCTGTATGATTGTGTTGCAGCAAGCTCTTGTTCTACACTCGTGGCTCTCCTGAAAACTGACTCGGCTTTGACTAAGACTATTCTCAGCCTTATCCCTTTATCTGACCTCCCGTTGCTGAACCCGGCTCGTGACCTGTGTATTCTTGCCTACCGTCCTGTACTGTCTGTCCCACTGTTATCGACCCGGCCTGTCCGACTACGCTATCGTTTCCCATCTGGTTCCCACCAGCTATACGCCATTGGGCGGCGGCCATTACTGCAGCTGGGGTTACTCGGGGGCCGCGACCTGGTCCCTGGCTGCGTCAAGTCCATCCCCACCATCAGGGGCCCTGGTGAAAGGCAGCCTGGGGCTTAGACTCTGCGCCCTGAGGGACTCCGGTCTGTGGGTGGTAGTTGTTGTCAGTCGGTGCGTGACCCTACCATTAGGCCTGCCTGTCCATTCCACCACTCCTGCCCTGACACAATCCTACTAGTTACAAGATATAATCATTTTAGAGTATCCAAGAAAAGGTTAAACACAATAAAATCTTAGGCTACAGTTCTGAACCAATTGGACCAGGGTTTCCAAGCTTTGTCAAATTTGGTAATTCTATCGTTTAGGTAAGCTAAAGATTTAGTTTTAGGTTATTTTTACCAAAATAAATGTAGCAGAATACATTTTGGCCTCAATTTATGAAGAAAAATTCTATATTTGTAAAATTGTATGACAAAAACTAAGGAAAAAAGTTTTTGCCTTTCTACATTTTCAGTATTTTTTAATTTATATAACAAAAAAAGCGATTAAAAACCACCAAAAACAAAGCTCTATCTGTATAAGAAAAACTAAGAATTTCATTTAGGTACATGTTGAGTAATTGTCATTCATAGTGTGACAGTGCTAAAAGCTGAAAATTATCCTGGACTGGAATGGGGCAAAAGTGTCCAGACTTGAGGTGGTTAAAAAAAATAGATACATATGCTTACTTATTTTTAGCCCACTCCAGTGCGGTGATCTAGTCCCCCTATGTCAGCCTGCAGTGGCTGTAGGGGAGAGGAGA